GTCTAGAAAAAACTAGAAAGAATATTATAAAAAGAAAAAAAAGCTAGAATAAAGTTAAAGGTAAAAAAAAGAAAAGCTAATGAAAAGGCAATGATAGATAGTGATAACACGGATGATGATGATGATTCATCATTAACAAGAAGTGCCATCGAAGGGAAGTATAAACGTAAACGTAATATGGGAAGAGGATATGAAAGTAGCTAGAATAAATGACAATTATTTAAGCATAGAGTTGGAACAAAACGTAATTTGTAAATTAATATTTTGTTAATGTTCGGAAGGGAGTTTGGTCTATTTGAATGTTTCGATTCCGTGGTACCTTTTTTTTTTTATAATCATTTAAAACTTTTTTTTTTTTTTTTTTTTTTTTATCTTTAATTATAATAAGAACAATTTATGAAATCGAAACGGTATTTAAAAATACAAGTAATATTAGTAATTATAATGATCTTTTACAATAAATAATTATTTATATGTTCTGATTATAAGTAAATGGTTCAGATACTGGATTAAAAGATAGATATATTACTTTTTTGAAGAAAAAAAATTTTATTATATCGAATATACAATTTTAGGTTATTTCATATTATGATTTTATAGTAGTTTTAGGTATGTCCAAAATCAAATAAAACAAGAACCAAGTTAAGTTGAAAATAGAAAATAGAAGTACTTTTAACATAAAACTTGATTTTCGTATTTTGTGTCGACATACTACATATGAAAATAAATCAAATATCGATATGAGAATAATGTATAAAATATTTGATATATTAACTCTAAACTTTATACGTATAATGTCATTATAACGAGACTCATTTGTACGAATATATATATAATTAAAATTCTTACGAAACATACTTAACCAACCACCAAAAATTCCTATACGCATTGATATCAGATATTGCATTATTGGTTATCGTTATGTAAATTTTTGAAAATTTTATCGTTATTAAAAGAATTATTACCAGTTATCCATAACCATAAAAGTAATTCCTTTTCTGGAGTTCTCCAGTTGATTGCTGTTTATCAAACCAGAATACGTACTATCCAAGTTACTACATTTATTACAATTATTGGTGGTGCGATAGTTTAAATTCCTATAACGAATGCAACTATTTTTTTATTATTTTTATTTTATCGAAATAATAATTATATATTAACTAATAATAACTAATAATCCTATAACGATAAGAGCTAAGTTATTTGTCACATATGTGACAATGGCTTATATATCACTAATAATTTATTTATCACATATATATGTCACATATAACTTAAACATTTTCAATAATACTACGTAGTTAAGTTCGATTACATAACAATACTAATAATATAGATTTTAGCAAAAGCCGAATTCGGCTTTTGCTAAAGTATAACATAAAACTATTATCTTAAAAAAGATTTTTTATTAGTTGGTTATGCTTTCGCTACGGCTATCGCCTCCGCTACAGCAAAATTTTTACTATAACCTAGAAAAAAGGACTTAATAAATGCTCATAATATTAACCAAAATGACTTTTAAAAAAAACTATCTTACCAGATCTAATATTAACCAAAATTGTTACGTTTATACTTATTACTTGCATTCGTAAAAGTGCTAAATTCCAATAATCGTGATGTAACTTAAAGCTCTAAACGAATATATAAATAATTAGTTAAGAGATAGTTAAATTATTATAATTGACGAGCAGTACCAAATTATTCAAAATATATAATTCGTTCCTTCACTATATAATGAAATTATAATCAATATATAATTAAAGTGCAAATGCAGTATACATTCATGACATGTGTAGAGCTAAATTAAATACAATATAGAGGTGAGTTAATAGAAATCAAGCAAATTGTTTTTATTGAAATTTTTTTGAAACTTTAAACAATAATAACTCAACAAAAGCTTTATC